ATTTCAAATTCATATGACGAGATTTCGACATGGATAGTCTAATTTTTGAACTTCAAATTGTCTTTTATTTTCAATTATTTTTGTCCGCAAATGTACGCCAAAATTCTGAGTCTAGGCTCTAGTTCAAAAATTAGAACAAAAGAAATGCTGTGTTTTTTGATTGTCTAAGTTTAAAGGGAAAAAACTATTAAGTAAACATTTCTTTCTAAATCTTGTTTGGTCACTAAATATATGGCATAAAAAGAAGAATAATTGAGAGCTTTTGAGAGGCTTAACGTACTGTGTCGCTACTTGATTTCTGTTTTTCAAATTTCAATTCTTGATCAGAAGAGGCTGCCATGAGGGATGACTGAAAACAAAAAACAAACAACATTAACTTTATTAACTAATAAGAAATTGTAACTGAGTATCCTCAACAGAAAAAGGCTCTCATGTAAACGATATTAAAGACAACCTTAAAGTAAGCCCTGTTTTGATATTTTGGTGGTTCAGCTTATAAATAAAGCTTGACATAAATTGACTAGATTTTGGGTTGCTCCAATAAAGAGTTCTGTTGATGCATTTGTGGCTGGGCTAAGCTTGTACAATAGCTCTTTGGTATCAGCATGCTGTCATGGACAGGAATAGTGAATGGTCATTTGTTCAAATGGTTACTGGGTTTGAACTAAAAAAACAAGAGGCTGTGAAGATGAATAAAATATGAAATAAATAATTTCAAATGTCTGCGGTAAGATTTTAAATAAATATACAGTGATAATTTTGTTATGTCACTGTTACTGGTATGTTAGGTCACCAACTAGAAAATTATTTAAAAGGAAGTGACAGCTTTTTAAATGTAAATGGTTGACATTTTGGATGAAATGGTATTCCACTTCACTACAAGTAAAAGAACCCGCTAGTGGTTTCTGGTAATGCAAAGAAGGATATTTAATAGTGGGTTCTGTTAAATAAATTGTAAAGTCAGATGGGGCTTTTATCCAAAACAATAATCATTAGTATTTTCTTACATATTTAAAAAATGTTGTCACTCAGTCAATGTATTCCCATCTATGCTTTCTGGTTCTACCAACATTTGAAAATGGAGAAAACTTTGCCTTAAATTTGTACTTTTTAGTGCAGCTGCGTGCATGTCATGATGTCACTTCCTTGGGATTATAAGCAACTCTAGTAAAGGAGCTCAGATCAAAGTGTAGATCACTTTGTTCATGGTTACAAAATGACTACGTGTACCTGTACGTGCCATTTCTACAAAAAAAATGCAGCTACAAAGGGGGGAGGGGAAGGGGGTGAACTATGTCCACTTACAAAACAAATAAAGGAAGGAAGATTTTCAGAACATAATTTATTTCAAATTATAGGAAAAAAACAGAACAATATTACAATAAAAATTAAAAAAATTTGGGGCCTCTTCCTGGAGGCTCTTCCTGGTGGACACTCTCAAAAGCGAACCGCTTAACTTTTACTAAGCAAAAACCAGTCGCTTTCACAAAACCTTGTCTCAATTCCCAACTCTGAGAGCTTTGTGAATGATCTTGCCCAAGTCCCATGGTATGAAAATGCTTTGATTGATGATGCTAGTGAAAAAGTAGAACATTTTAATGAGAAATTTTTGGCAGTCCTGGAGCGTCATGCGCCTGTCAGGAAAAGGAAAGTCAGAAATCGGCAATGTCCATTTCTAGATCAAGAGATCAAGGAGCTGATGGATGAGAGAGACCAAGTACACAGAGTTGCTCGTGTGTCGGGTGCTGTTACGGACTGGGAGCATTACCGTTGGTGTCGTAATGAGGTTAAGAGAAGGCTATATGATGCTGAGAGGATCCATGTTCAAAAGGAGATGAATGGCAATCAGAGTAGTAGTGCCATGTGGAAGGTAATACGGAACTGTATCCCGTCAAAAGAGAAATCGAAACCGGTGTACTCAAGGGATATGACGGAACTGGCGAACGAGTTCAATGAGTTCTTTACTTCTGTGGGGGCAAGGGCTGCAGCTGAATCTAAGAGGCTTGCTTCAGTTAACGTTCTTCCAGCGTATAAGCCCCCCTCATCCAAGAACTT